TAACAGGTCTTGAAATATAATATAATTTAAAATATATTTTTGTCATAAAAATAGTTTTTCTTATCATGTACATATTTTTTTATATTGATCTGAAACAGCACAAACAAACTAAAAGAAATTATTCATTTCTACGTGTGACTTTTGAAGCACGAGTAATGTTAGTGATGTCTTCACTGAGGTGGTCTTTATTTAGTAGCGATTGGTCCGAAGGATCAAATAGTCTGGTACCTTCTTTTTAAAGAATTCGTACACTATGCTAAACCTCAGAATAAAGATTTATTAAAAAAATATATAATATAAAACAAAATGCATTCTTTTGACATGAGTATATTTTTTATATTTGAATACATAATTTTACTATAAATAAATAACTTCTTATGTTATAAAAGAGCTTATAATTACCTCCCCACTATTATTTCGATTCACCACTCGAACAACCGAACTTCAAATCACCACTCACTTTAAGATGTCTTTGAAAGGTATCTGAGATTTAATTTTATAGAACATTAATGCCTTCGTTAGTCTCAATGCAGAATTTTAATAACTCAATTTTCGATATTTTAAGCAAATATACTTTACCAACAGGTTGACCTTATGTTCATTTTTATCTCTTTTGTACTACACAGTTGTGAAGAGTAAATTTTTTTATCAATTTCCAAAGTACTGGTTAAATCACCAGTTACTTAGTATAATCATAATTCTACTTTCTTTTGTAAATATACGAAAATATATGGCTACAGTTTTGCTCCTTTTATCTCGTTGCTTTTTAGCTAATCAAATTTATAAGTTAATTTGGCTTCATTAATGATCACAAAAATGGCTTTTCAATTTGCATGAACTCATGATTTAAGGCGATCGTTCTTAATACTAATATGGATGACTTCGGCTATTTAATATTTATCAATAAAAATGTTTACAGCCTTAGTGACATATGTCCCGTTAGATCTACTTTTAAACTTAGAATAAGTGGTTTTTTACAAGAATTTATTTCAACTTAATTTTAATTTGTTGATTATATGTTAACTTCACTGTAGAATATCAAGAGCAGTGGGCCCAAAGACGTGGCTGTTTCAATTTATCAAAATATGAAGATGAGCTTGGTCGTGGTGCTTCGGCCTTTAGTTATGGCTGAAGGTCAAAAGTCAGAGTTTTTTAGTGAATCTATAGTTAATTGTCATTTACGATACCTCATTTTAAGTGAAATATTATGATTTTTTAAAATTGGTATTTCAATATGAACTAGTCAGTTAATTTCTCTGTTTTTAGTGTCAATATTTTTAAAACATGTAGGTATAAAATTTATTAACCATTTCCTGAGAACCTTTAATGTTTTTGAGGAGTCTATTCCTTTAAGACTACAATTTCTTATTCTGCAAAAAAATTGCTTCTTTATCCTACAAACCACATGGCCGTTATATTTCTAAAAGATTAATTCTATTTTGATTTCAAAATTCATTACATAAATATGTAACATAAAAGCTTACTATTTGTAAATATAGATATTTTTGTTTAGCAATTACATTTCTATACATGATGTCTTATATGTTGCAGGAGCATCTCTTCAAGTAAGTTTTTATTCTGAAAGCATGTTTTCGTCGCAGTTTTCCTGTTTTATCTGAACTTATTTTGTGTAAATTTGTTTATGTATGTATGTGTACATGTACTTTGATAATATGGAATAGTGAGTCACTGTCTAATTTTCATTTAAGACCGAAAAGCTTAATAAAAACTTTAGGTGAAAGGAATTCTAAGTTTGGCTATGTATCAGATCTATATATATGTATATCTTTTTATATTACAATTACTTTATCTAGAGATTCTCTTTACTATTCTAAAATTTCGTTTTATTTAACTGATCTCTATACTAGAACTAAAGTTAAAACTTAATGTGTTTTGAAATCTAATAATAGTTATACATATAACCTTGAAAACATAGTTTTTGTTAATGTGATATTAATGTATGAGCTGTATTAAAAGACAACAAATCTCATTTGATGGAAAACTGCAATATCTGTAAAATAACAAAGTCTATTATCGTATTTAAAATTAATGTTCTTATCAAAATAATAATGAACTTAGACGGTACTTTACCTTATCTTATTTACAAATAAGGAACTATTCGAAATCAAGATTGTAGGGTACTGACCTTTACTTTTGAAATGTTTTACAACACTTTATTCATATTGGAAATTATTATGTAATGCTTAGTTTTTATAATCTGAAAGTGGAACATGAACGAAGAAAGTGCAGTAATGTGACACAGAAAAATAGGAGCTTATTAACATTTCGAGCCTGGCTGAAAATTGGTATTTTTGTTTTAAAAAACATCGTTAATGAAATATAGAAGTATATCGACTTTTGTTAGATAATTATCTGATCTGCAATTATTGTTTAAGTTAATTTTAGGTTAAAATTTACTCAAAATCTTTAAACACCCGATTTTTTGACCTCGAGTTTGTAATTTGAACGGAATAAAAGAAATATAAAAAAAAATCCTTCAAACTTAAATTTGATATGAAAAGTATCTGATTTATGAAGGCATAGTGAAGAAACAGAAAACAATAAGTATTTTTGTAAGTTCTCTTGAGTAACTTCATCTGATAGGGATATCCAATATCTTGTTTATTTTACTTATTTATTCAATTTCAATGTGTAATGTCAATGATTATATAAAGTATAACTTTTTTTCATTCAATACTTAACAAAAGTTCATATACTTATGAACATTGTTATTGCGACATATATTTAATTAGGAATATTAAAAAGATTTATTGATAGAAATACAAGATTTAAAGGTGTTTTATCCTTTATATGAGTGTACATAGAAACTGACATACACAGACAGACAGAATAATATCTTTCTTTTATCTTTTATTGCGCCATAGTTAGAAATGACCAACGTATTATAAATAATATGTAAACATAACCTTTACTCCTATCAATCACCAACCAGCAACTTCGACTTCACCGATCACATCTTATGAAATGTTATTAAACATAAAAATATCTTAATAAAAATTTATTCTTATCAATTTGTGGTTTTAAAACGATACATAAGTATTTACCGTTTTAAAAACACATTGTGAAAAACCAAGCATGTTGTGTATTACATATTAAAAAAAATACTAAACACAGCTTTATCTCCTAACAAGTTTATTAATTCACAAGTCTAGTGTATTTAAGCATTCTGATTTTCATTTAATCCAAAATAAACTAAGAAAAATAATTTATAACTTTATATCTGTTTGTGATTTAAATCATTATGACAACTTAAGAATACATTTATTTCTGAAGATTTTTTAATTCTTTATCAGTTGAGGTGATAATAATGTCTAAATATATTTTAAACTAGTTTTCTAAAGCCAAAACTTATCTATTCTATAACATAATGCAGCACTTAAGAAAATGCAATTCATACTAATAAACAAACACTTCAAGAAAGGTATAAACTATCTTTTGTCTACGGAGTTTATACTAATATTATTCCATAATTGAGATCTGAACTCTGGTTTAAAATTGATTCTTCAATTATTTTATACCAATAGAGAGATTATTAAATTACCCTTCTAATCTACTACTAATGAAAGTACACACATTTCATAATTACAAATGTTTATTTACTAGAAGGAGAAAAACAAATTACTTGTACATGCAATCGATGCACGAGTTACTTATCAATAAGATTATCTAGTCTCTGCTACCTGTGTAATGAACAAGGATTTGATAAAACAACACTCTAATACAATAATAACAAAAGATTATATATAAAGTTACATCCTGATGAAGATAGTTATTATATCCTTCAAAAGTCAGGCGACGTTTGTTTATGTTTGAACACCGAAGTGACAACACGCGCTCTGAAATAAAGTGAATAAAAATAGTGAATAATTGTGGTCCAGTATTAAATACACCGAACATAAGGTATTTATTAATTATTGTTATACTTATTTATATGTTTTCTTGTAAATTATTTTCAAAATACTATTTTTTATACATATATCTCGCAGTTCTAAGCCCGCTATATTATTTACTCCGATGTTTAATACATTTATTAAAGACTTTTGACCACTGTAACAATGTTCACCTAATCGTATTTATTTAAAACTTTTTTCTAATATTTTAAATGTATTTAGATAATCTGCCGTCCATCAAAATCTAAAAATTATTTGGTAAACTTGTGTGCCTATTGGAACAAGATAACTCATTATTTATTACAACTTTGAACTTGTATTAAACAACAAAGCGATATGCAATTACTTAATGGAAAACACGGCATTGTTTATAATTATTTTATCCGAAGTCACTCAGTTCACTGTTTCTTACGCTGTACCTGGAAAAGATTAACACGTAATAAATTTACACACATGTATGAATTAAACATAAAAAAATAATGTTATCAAAATAACTATTTAAAGGTAAAAATAACATTTATCAATTTTTATATTTCCCAACAAACAGCATCTTAATTGAAACTTCGGCGTATTTATAAAGTAGTTTTATGTATATGTCTTCAAGGTCGGCAGACACTTCGTCTATGAGATCAGAATCAACGTTTATTAATTTCATTTAAATATGAACTCGTTTTTGTATCGGTTTCTTGTATACAAAATAGTTTTGTAAACAAACTTCACTATTTATGTACCGTATAAGTTATTTATGTGTCTAGTGTTCATATTAAGGTTTATTGGAACTCACATTGATCGTCTTGTGCTGTATAAGTTACATTCCATAATAAACATAAAAAATTTCTTATCTGTTTTTTTGTTCAAATGAAAATTTATATAATCGAAATATCTGATTAAATCGCACAACATGGTTTTACAAGGCTTTTGGTTGTCTTCAGTCAAAATGTTGGAAAAGTTTTAATAAATACACTTAAACATTATAACTCCGCTATCTAATATATATTAAATCGTAATTTACAGTATCTATTTATAAACTTCAATAATAGAAAAATATTTCCTAACACCCCCGAATACAATTAACACTTATTGTTTAAGATGATAGTATTCCTATTATGGGTCGTTGTGCTGGTGGCTGCTCTGGCACTATACTACCGCCAGATCTACTCGAGATTCTCTAAGTATGGAGTCAAGCAGAAAGAGATTATTCCTTTTTTTGGCAATATGTTGAAGATAACACTTCGCATGGAACACTTCGCTGACAATATTGACTCAATGTATAACGATTTTCCAGACGAAAGGTACAAATTTTTAAACGTATAACTAATTGTAAAGTAAATAAAATTTATAAACATCCATTTTAATGACCTCTTTATAAACACAGGTTCGTCGGCCGGTTTGAATTTTCAAAACCCGCTATATTAATAAGAGATTTAGAATTGATAAAAAAAATAACTATCAAGGACTTCGAACACTTTCTGGATCATCGGGGCTTCGTTGATGATAAAGTCGAGCCACTTTTTGCAAGAAACTTATTCTCTTTAAAAGGTACGTAAAACATTATATTACGCTACAAGATTTACCGTCATCAGAAAATTACTTCAATAATATTTTACTCTAGGTCAAGAATGGAAAGATATGAGGTCGACCTTGAGTCCGGCTTTCACGAGCTCCAAGATAAAACAGATGGTGCCGTTCATGGAAGAAGTGGGAGAGATGATGATTAGAGCGGTCAAGAAAAATATTGAGAATTCTAAAGGTACGTCTCATAAATGATGTATTTAATATTTCATACTGATAAACATATACATTAAATCACTCCTTGATATTACAAAAACCGATACAATTATTTTCTTGTAAATGCTTTTATAACAGTCGGGCAGATTGAAATCGACGTGAAAGACCTGACCTCTAGATATTCCAACGATGTGATCGCTTCCTGTGCCTTCGGACTCAAAGTTGACTCTCATACTACAGAAGATAATGAATTCTATGAGATGGGGAAAAAAGCCTCGACTTTTAAGTTTAAGCAAATGCTCCTCTTCTTTTTGAATTCTGCTTTACCTTTTGTTGCTAGGGTGAGTTAATCTAACACAAAAAATGTTGCCAATAATTATTTTTACTTTATTTTATTTTACTTTTGACAAATAAGGCATTTTCAAAAACAACTTGCAGTGTTTTAATAGTTAGTTTATTGTTTAAATAAGTATATACTGAGAATAAGACGTTACCATAATCATTTTGTATAACAAAATACTTTAACAAAAAACTGCATCCGTGATATTAATGCCGCAGGTGTCATAATTTAAAACGAAACAAAAAAAAATTAAATAATCATCATAAAAACGCCTTTTTGCTGGATCTAAATTTGATTTGGAAATCATAAACCTTTGTCTTGGGTTCGGTAAAAAAACTGAATTTTATAACAAGTTTGTAAATGATATAATAATTGTAACCTAACCTCAATTATTATAAAGATAATGTTACTGCAAATATAATATGATATATTGAACACCAACACTAACTTCTGAAGTTTATTATCTATCTGTTATTTCAAATCATCGGCTTTTCACTAAACTCATGTCAGAGTAGACATTATACCTACAAAAAAAAAATGTCTGCATTACACCTACAAAATATTTTTTTTTTAGTTTTCTCTTATTATTTAAAAACAATTCATTAGATTGATGATATGTTTGCAGCTATTTAACCTAAAACTCTTCTCAAAAGAAACAACAAATTTCTTTGTGGATCTAGTACAAGGTACAATGAAGGAAAGGGAAGACAAAAAAATCATTAGACCAGACATGATTCATCTGCTGATGGAAGCTAAGAAAGGTACAGCTTTATAACACGGAATTTTTTCAATTTTATATCCGAATTTACGAAAATTTCTTTTTAAAAATCCTGAAAATTTTATAAATACATAAAAATGAAATTGAGGTTACTATGTTTTCGACAGGTAAACTTACATATGATGTCGCTAATGGAAAATCTGACTCCAATGTTGGATTTTCCACAGTTGAAGAATCGGACTTAGGCCAAAAACCTGTTACTAGAGGTAAGATTTTTTTCTGCAAATAGTGACAACAAAAAGGTAACCAAGCTACATTTAAACTTCATTTTTATTGAAATTTCTCATATTTCTCAGATTCTTTCACTAATGTAAACATTAAAGCCATTTTACTTTTCAAATACGACTTGCGTCCTATGTTACCAAAAACTTGATTGAATTTGATAATTACAGTGTGGTCTGATAGCGACTTGATCGCTCAAGCAGTAATGTTCTTCATTACTGCATTTGAAACCATATCTACTGTGGCATCTTTCACGCTTTACGAACTAGCCGTGAACCCAGACGTACAGGAGAAACTTCTTAAGGAGGTTAAGGAACATAATGCTAAATTTGGAGGAAAATTGGACTTTACATCTATTCAGAACTTGACTTATTTGGATATGGTGGTCTCAGGTTTGCCTCGATATAAAATTTGAAATATATTATTTTAATATAATAGACAATTTACCTTTATGTCATTTACAGAAGTTTTAAGGCTGTGGCCACCAGCCATCGTCTTGGACAGAGTATGTAACAAAGACTACAACTTGGGAAAACCGAACAGTAAAGCCACTCAAGACTTCTTTGTAAGTAAGAAAGTATTAGAGAAGTTGTAACGAGATCCTGATACAGGCTAACAATACACAGAGCAAATATAGGTATTTTATATTTTTTGTTTGTTTTAAGGTGCGTAAAGGAGAGCTCGTAGGAGTTCCAGTAATGAGCATTCATCGTGATCCACAATATTTCCAAAATCCTACTAAATTCGATCCTGAACGCTTTTCTGAAGAAAATAGACACCTTATTGATGTAATGACTTACATGCCATTTGGATATGGTCCCAGGAATTGTATCGGTAAAGACAACACATTTAGTTCAGTTTGTTTAAATTTTAAATCTCATATTCCATTTTCTTAGCTGCTACGAAGAAACTTCAGTAAGCTAAGTTCAAGATCCTATGAAATTAAAATTTTCGTGCCCTGTATGTGTTTCTATATCGCAAGATAATTATATGCTATAAATTTATCACATCACTGTTTTACCTGATAGTTATAGTTATAAATTGCTTACACATTTATTCATTTAAAAATACAGGTTCACGATTCGCGCTCTGCGAGGTGAAGGTACTCACCTATCAGCTTATTCTAAACTTCGATATATCGCCATCACAGAAGACTTGCATTCCGGCGAAGTTGAGTACTGAATCTTTTAATCTTCGCCTTCAGGGAGGACATGAGCTTTTATTTAAATTACGTTAACATACTATATATGTACATTTTTATTTCATAAAAACTTTTCTGCTAAGGGTATTATAAAATAAAGAACACTTCAGAGACGCTAAAATAAATATTGAAGTACAATTTTGATATTATTATAAATATATAAATATGTATTATAATTTATTTTTTTAAATAAAGAGCATTTTATACAAGTATTTTAATTTTATTAAACCTTTATAAATCACATTGATATTTTTCAAACACGAGCACACTGCCATGCTCACTATTTACTTGGTCTCTGTTCAACTAAATGAGTTTTTCACATATTCTTTTGTTTAACTTCTGCTGTGTTACAGCATCCCAAGTTTATTTTAATCTTTAGTTTCGTTTTAATTATTTTTTCTTTACTAGAATAAGATAAACCACTTGATTGTAGTTACGGACGGTCTGAATCATATTTTGGAAAAGTGCGCATACTATTACAATGCTGGATTGATAATAATAAGCAAACAAAGCTAATAGCCACGACAAGGAAAACTGACTTACAAATGAAAAAATCTGTACCAAAATCGGTATCTTTGTTTGAGAGCTACGATCCCACATATCGACCGAAATAGATTTCAATCTCATAACACACTTATTTTTGCTTTGGCTTTTAAATAAGATTTTATGATAGAAATATGAGATATATGTAATAGATCCCTGGAATCAATATTTTATTATTTAAGATCGTATTGTTTATCATTTGTAGTTCTGAAACAAAATATGTAGTTTGATTGCCATAATTCCCAAAATAAGTAGGTGTAGATTAAAATAATTATCTATTTTACAACTGTTTGGGATTTAGCTCACTATAAAAATAACAAGAAATCGAAAAGACAAACAAATGTCTTAAGATTTAAATAATTTTGATGGTTTTTGCAATGACAGTCAAATTAATGAAAGTGGAAGATAACAGAATTTATTTTATTTAAAGTAAATCATTTATAATAAATCATTCAAATAAATATTTCAAGACAGAGTAGTTGATACTTCTGAAATCATTTAATTAATAAATTTAATTCTCTAATCAATCTCATAACGAAAAGGTTTTTATGTCTTGGCATCATTTTGAACGTAAAAAAAATTGGAACGTAACTTCAGGGATAAGAAAATAATATTTTTCTTACTAAGAAGAGTTACATATAATGAAGTAGGAGCTACAAACGTAATGAATAATGTGCTCGCATCAATGTATCAATATGCAAGAACTGGTCCCTGAGACGCACAAAATACACAAATGATATGATTATGCGAACAACATTTGTATATAAATTATATATTACAGGTTGTATGCTACCATAGTGTATATTATTTAAAATTACTTCTGCAAAGAAATCATTAGTCAGCCTTTAATAATTATAATCTGTATGTTAAAACAGCGAAGCTCCAAGACGTGCCCTGAACTTAAATGCAATAAATAAACACAAACATTTGTCATTTTATAGAACAAATTGTTTTATTTGTTTACTAAGAATATTTAACTTATCTATAAAGTATATTACATATTTTATACTTTGTTATTTGCAATTATATCCTTATGTGTTACTCACCTCCCGATTGAGCAATATTACTCTCAAATCCAATTTTTTATTATTAGCCATTTTAATTGCATTCAGTGAAGATACCACACTGCGAAGACTATATGCATCTCAACGAAATCTTCGAAAACTGTTTTTATAAATATTTATGAATATATTGCCAATCATAAAATTTAAAAAATATTTTCTCAAAATATGTTTCAGAGAAAATGACCTGCTCTCTACTATTACTCTCAGTTTATAAAAGCAATAATAATAATCAATTAAATTCTCGTTTGTTTATGTTTTGGTGACATTTATCAAAAAATCAATAGTATAAAAGTCTTGAACAGGATATTAATAAAAAAATGTGCGTCATACTCTAAAGACAATACGTTATCTACATGTTTATCTAAAGATAAAAATAATAGTAATGAAATCTGTTATTAATATGTTTTATTCCTGACTGATATCCTATTTCTGTCGCGTTATCTCCATTTACAAGTAAAATAACATTAATGATTATAATATTTTTCAACAAAGAATATTTTAATTGAAACTTCGGCGTATTTATAAAGTAGTTTTAAATGTCTTCAAGGTCGGCAGACACTTCGTCTAAGAGATCACAATCAACGTTTATTAGTTTAATTTAAATATGAACTCGCATAGGTTTTTTGCATCGGTTTCTTGTTTACAAAATAGTTTTGTAAACAAACTTTTTTTTTATGTTAAAGGGGGCAACCGAGCAGACGGCCTACCTGATGGAGGTAGCATCGTCACCCATAGACATCCGCGACATAAGATATGTTGCGGATGTGTCATCACCCTTGATTTGGGAAGAGGGGGAGGAAAAATGGGAAGGGCAGGAAAAAGGGAAAGGGGAGGAAAAAGGGAAGGGGAGGAAAAAGTGAAGGGTTAGAAAAGGATGGGAAAAGGGAAAGGGCAACCGGCTCTCTCACTCATCGAACGAAACGCAGCCACTAAGGCTACTTCACGCCGATCTTCTGTGAGAGGGTGGTACTTCCCCGGTCGAGCCAGCCCACGTTCGAGCTGCAATCACTTGACCACAGCTAGGCTCTACCACCGATAAAACTTCAACATTTAGACACAGTATAAGTTTGTTACCTTTGTATTATTAATATAAAAGTTTATTGGAAGTCACATTGACCGTCTTGTGCTATATAAGTTACGTTCCAAAATAAACATCAACATTTTGGTCTTCCATCAAATTTTATAGAAATTTTATAAAATACACTTTAGCATTACATGTAATATCACGAATTAGAAATATATGTAGATCGTGAAAAGCAAAATCTCATATGTTATCAAATCAATAAGAAGAAATTAAAGTTTCTTATGAAATACAAAAACTTTTATTAATAAAAATTATGTACCGTATTCTTACTATGGCTGACTGTTTCTGTGGCTGCTCTACACGATTTGCAAAATTTGGAGTGAAGCACATAACAATTCAGCTTTGTGTAGGAAATATAAGGAAAACTATTTTATGCATTTAATATTTTGGTAAATATATTGACTCAGTATATAAATAGTTTTCAGAAGGTACTATACCAACATAATTTTAAAGTAAAAACAATTTAAGAAAAACCAATTTAATAACCTCGTTTTTACAAATAAATTCTTCGTGCAGTTTGAATTTTCAAAACTTAATATTTTAATCATAATTTTCTTGACTTTGAACTTTTTCTGGATCATTGTGGCTTCGTTGATGAAATTATCGAGTCTTTATTTGGAAGGAATTGAAATTCTTAAAAATGTTCATAACGTGTTTTCATACGGTTTAAGATTCATTGGCGTCAAAAGAAATTTTTTCTTATGGTAAAAGGGGGCAACCGAGCAGACGGTCTACATGAAGGAGGTAGTACCGTCGTCCAAGGACATCCGCAGCATTTCATGTTGCGGACGTGTGTCGCCACCCTTGATTGGGGAAGAGGGGAAGGGAAAAGTGGAAAGGGCAGGAACATAGAAGGGGTAGGAAAGGAAGGGAAAAGGGAAAGAGCTACCTGCTCTCTCACTCATCGGACGAAATGCAGCCAGTGAAGGCTACTTCACGCCGATCTTCTATGAGAGGATGGTACTTCCCCGTCGAGTCAGCCCATGCTCGAGCTGCAGTAACTTGAACACAGCTAAGCTCTACCACCTCTAAAAAAGTTATATAAGAATATTTTACTTTCTACTGAGCGCACTAGTATAAAGGTGATATTTCTATATTTTTATGACCCTACAATATTACGAACTCAGTATCGTCTAAATCTAATAGACGATACTGAGCTAACAACATTGTTTATATTGACATTTAGCATCTGTATGTTACAGAACTGCGAAGTGATAGAACGTTGACTTAGATTGATCGTTTATCTAATAATAAGTTAGTGCTGTTATATAATATCATATCCAATACAGTGAGTATATTAAAAGGAATAAAAACATATCTTAATATATGAAGGTTCCCTTTTAATATCATAGTAATTTTACTTTGCCAAAAGAATTAATTATTATTTAGACTATTTACTCCCATTACAGAAAATTAATTTATACGTTGGTATACATTGATATTGTTAGTTAACTATCAAAAAGATATATACTTTATTAGTACAACAATGTGTAATAGTATATAATATTTAAATTGATTTTTATTCCAATGAGCATACGAAATCGTATACTTGCTCTCCAATTACATGTATGTATTTCATCAATTGTATCAAGTGTTTTTATTCTTATATTTTCACCTTGACAATAACCATCATCTGTGACAGGAGACAAAAAATAATATCTTTAGGTCTGTATATTGCATATGATTGTTAAGTAATTTTCCAATCAGTGATAACAGTAACTGGTCATCAAATAGAACGCATTTGACCTTGTGTGTATTTCTTTGATCTCTGAAAAACTGCCTATGAAAAGTTCACTTAACAAATTTCAATTTCAACTCATTTACTCGTTTCTTGATTCCAAACTCCTCATTATATGTGTAAACAAAAAACGCAAAATAAATATTTTCCTTATTATTGACCGTGATATTCTTAACTTACGCAACGCTGTAAATGTATATGCACGAACTGTTTAATATTGAATAGACAAAAGATTTAACACTAAAATTATATTTAAAGAGGTTGCCAACATTCAATGTGTTTAAACAGAAAAAAAAATAACAGCATTTTTCTTCAATAACATTGTGCCACAAAAAGCGAAAGATAATAATATTTAGTTATATAAGGTAATAATCTGGTTTTTCAGATGATTCTTGAAATATGGGTTGTCGTTTTATTTGTGGCCGCAGTGTTGTATTATCGTCAAGTGTACTCAAGATTTACTAGATTTGGTGTCAAACAACAGACACCGTTCCCTTTTCTCGGCAACATGTTGCGAGTAACCCTTCGACTTGAACATTTGAGTGATACAATGAATTCAATGTATAAACAATTTCCAGAAGAAAGGTAAATTATTGATAATTTAATAAATAATAAGAATCGATTTAAGTTGTGCTTCAAATCATCTTAACAAGTTTTTAGGTTCATTGGACGTTTCGATTTCATCAAGCCCTGTCTGTTCGTAAGGGACATTGAATTAATAAAAAAAATAACTATTAAAGATTTTGAACATTTTGTGGATAGAAGCGGCTTCTCCATTGAAGTAGACTCATTGTTTTCAAGAAATTTATTCTCTTTGAAAGGTAATAAAAAATATATGGTAAAACTTATATCTCAATCTTATTAAATGATAGTTCTTCAAGTCTCATATGTTTTATATAATGTAGGTCAAGAATGGAAAGACATGAGGTCGACCTTGAGTCCGGCTTTCACGAGCTCCAAGATAAAACAGATGGTGCCGTTCATGGAAGAAGTGGGAGAGATGATGATACAAGCAGTGAAAAATAAAATCAAAAATTCAGGAAGTTGATATCATTAAAAATATATATTTTATATTATAATACTAATCCAATGTCATAAAAATATTTAATTGTTTAATGCTCACTAGATGAATGGATTGAAATCGACTGCAAGGACTTAACAACCCGCTATACCAATGATGTGATCGCTTCTTGTGCTTTTGGCATAAAAGTGGACTCGCATACTGACGTTGATAACGAGTTCTATAAAATTGGAAAAATAGTTAGCACTTTCAGATCTAGAGATATCATTTTGTTCCTACTCTATTCCGCTGCACCTTTCCTTGGGAAGGTAAGTTTCGATATAAATTTTTTGATATACATAAGAGATTTAGAATTTAAAAATATATTGTGTAAGATTCGTTATATATATATATATATTTTAGTTCTTTAAAGTGGAACTTCTCTCGACAAAAACAAGAAACTTTTTCATCGATCTTGTTTTAAGCACAATGAAGCAAAGGGAAACTCACAACATTATACGACCGGATATGATACACTTACTGATGGAAGCCAAGAAAGGTATAGTTATTTTAAGGAGAAACAATAAACCATTAAATAAAAGGTTTCTTAAATAATACAAAAATAATTGCTAAACAGATTTTATTGTTTGGCGAGTAATATAGTGTGTAAGATAAAATCTATAAATTACAGTTTAAGGTATTGTCCGCAATAAAATAGTTACACAATTATTCTTCATTATATTGTACATAGTTTTCGCTTATGTTTTGTTTATTTTGTTGTGAGGCTGAAGATTATTTTATTAAAATATAATATTTTTCTTATTCGTAGGCAGACTGAACCATGAAAAAGATGTGATTAACGCTGACGTTGGCTTTGCTACAGTGGAAGAATCCGAAGTAGGACAGAACAATAAACAGAGAAGTAAGTCATCAATTTTACAGTTTCACATCAATTTAACTTCTTTATACTTTAATATGTGACATATTTTAACAAATGCTTGTCAAAGGCTGGTCAGACACTGACCTCATCGCCCAGGCAGTTCTATTCTTCATCGCAGCCTTCGAAGTAGTTTCAACGGCGATGACCTTCACACTTACTGAACTAGCACTGCATCCTGAGGTGAAAGAGAAACTAGTGCGTGAAATAAAGGAACACGATGAAAAATATGGCGGCAAGCTGGACCTACATTCTATACAAACATTAACTTATTTGGATATGGTTATCTCAGGTAGAAAAATTTTTCTATGCTAAATAATGTGTCTTCGAAGAAGCTAATATGAATGCGATTAAAATTCTATTCCTAAAATTCTATTCTATTCCTTGTCAGATATCTCTATAAACAGATATTTTTCTTAATAACTTTCCAAGAAGATACCTATCTTGAAATTTTAGTTGTGTTGTTTATATGTATTTCTAGAAGTATTAAGGTTGTGGGTACCGACCGTACTCATAGAAAGGATGTGCGTGAAAGACTACAATATGGGGAAACCTAACAGAGAAGCTACTGAAGATTTTATTGTAAGTTTAACCATAATTTATGAAGCTTGTCGTTGTGAATCTTCATATCACGTTTACTTTTAGCTCCGCAAAGGTGAATCATTACAAATTCCAACTTGGTGCATTCATCGTGATCCACAATTTTTTCCTAATCCCACTAAGTTCGACCCTGAACGGTTCTCCAAAGAAAATCGACATCTTATCCATCCCATTGCCTATATGCCATTCGGACTTGGACCAAGAAATTGCATTGGTATGAAGACAATTATAAGACCAATCAATCAATTCGCAATATTTTTTAATACATATAATAATTGCTAAGATTACATTCTATTTCTAGGTTCACGCTTCGCTCTCTGCGAGCTAAAGGTGTTAGTGTATCAGATACTTCTTAACTTTGATTTGTCGCCAACCAAAAACACATGCATTCCAGCAAGATTGAACAAGAACTCCTTCCATCTTCGACTTGAGGGCGGTCATGCGCTAAAATTCAGATCACGTCAAATTTAATTACATTATGAATTTACGTGATGATTATTTTAAATAAATAAAATAATATAAACACTTATTAACTTCTTTTATTCTGTCCAGTATACGTTTTTACAGAGGAAGCCTGAAGTTGGCATTTCTCCTGTTTATAGCTTGGATATTCTCACATGAGATTATGTTAAATGTACAATATTTTTATATTTGGTTAATTCAAAAATCTTACTATTTGCTACACTATTTTGCTAGCTTCATATTTGTTTAAAAAGTAGTGGATATATTTTATGAAATATGGTTCAAGGATTTGATATGTTTTAAAATTTCTTGTCATATTAATTTTATCACTCGTAAGTTAGTAATGAAAACATGTTTAAATATTTTTTTCTATTCAATCAATCGCAACTCATGTATAGTACTAGTTCGTCCGAGATATGAGCATCCTCTCAAGTAAGTGAAGTAAGGACTTGAAGCGGCAAATGGCAATAAAAGCCTAAATAAAATACATATCGGTATCCTATACAACAGAAATATATTTTTTTAAAAAGAATAGAAGGTAAATTAGATAAATTACTTTGTTTTCAAATAAAATAATCACATTTATTTATTAACATTTTACGCAATTCATCAAAATATATAGACATGAGTCATATTTACCTGACGGCTGGCCACTTAATGACGTTGTAAACATAAACGTTACATTGTTTATAGTTATCGTGTAAATTGATAGCACAAAGAAATCTTAATATTATCATTTAAAAGCCTCTCAAAGTAAAATTGCGATAGAATAACACTTCGAGCGTGACTTGCTGAATATACACTATTTGTTAGCAATTAAATACTTTTTATATTTATGTGTCTAGTTATATTTATAACATTTTTCAGCTCGAAGTAGACATTATGTTATAAATGTTTATTAAGATGAAAAGGCAGGACAAAGAAATAAAACATAAAACATGGAACTACACTCAGACACTTTCATCTCGTCTGTCCGTAATCACGGTCGCTAAAAAGTAATTCAACTTACTTAGTTTCATTTAAATGTGCACACACCATTATCTTAGATAACACTGTAAATAATAATTAAAAAATATGTTCAATATTATGTCGTTCATATAATCTGCATCATATTTCATTTCCATATTAATGTATTCCTACAATTAAAATATCAGGATTAACTACAATAAACATTACTATTTGTCATTGCATCACTTAGTTCATAGTTTTGGAATAAGTCGGCTATAATATTTGACACTACAGCAGAGGTCAACAACCTCTTGTCAGACTCTTGTCAGAAAGGGCCTCGAGTTGGCCAAAAAATAAAGACGAGTCTCGATCATGATAACCCTAGAACTTACAAGCCTTGTATAACTACGCATTATTGGTCATATTCCATAGAAAAAATAAAAATAAATTGTTGTTAAAGGTGAGGAATTTAATTCGTACTCTTGATACTTACATTATATTTATATGTTTGAGGTTTGTAGTTAGAAAACAAAGAAATGAATACTACCAACTACCGAAATAGGAGACTTCTTTTACACAGATTTTAAAGTGACGTCTCAGGTTACTTTTAATAGACTATTTCTTGTGTGTTATCTTTCATATTCGTAGTAGAATATAGTAAAATTGCTCACAAATGCTCATCTGTGAAACTAGAAGCATATTTATTCTTTCTATGTTTGACCATGTAAAATAAAATATTCAAGCGCTACCTAAGATTATAATGAAATGCTTAGCAAAACTTTTTCAACTCATCAAAATCAGGTAATACTAAATAAAATTTAACAAAATTATTGATTTCATAGAAAGAGCTAAGAGCAACATTAAATTGATATCAATCTGTTTCTTGTATAAACGTGTCGGTACATCCTTAACATCATACGAATAAGGTCGTTTTTTACTTATTAAAATCGGTCGGTAATTACTTATTAAAATCATTCACTTGCCGCGTGATGCTGACCGCTGTATTCAATAATCTCGGTGACAAAATCTTGTGCTTACTTTTTATTTATTTTAAAGCAAATTGTTTGGAAGATAATGTTTCACCTTACAGTGGGTCGGGTTATATGTAAACAGAAAAATATGTTATTAGTTATTTCGATCATTTTGTATTATAATTAAGTTTAATTGGTATCATTATTATGTATGGTTGCTATGATTGCTTGATCTAACTACAGATACAATTATTTTGTTCTCACATAACTGTTTGTAATGCTATGTATATAACTAGGTGTGAACAACATTTATTATTTATAATCAAAATGTAAATAATAATGATAAAATAAAACCTTTGACATTACTTATCTACAAGTGAGAGGTCAAGCCAAAGTTTTAGTACGTTGACCAAAACAAAAAAAAATGCAGATGGTCAAAACTTTAAAACGAGAATTTTCATGTATATAATTTTATAAATTTGATAAGCGTTTAGTGAAAAGGTTTTTTTATGTGTCAAAGAGAACGAATGAGCAGACTGTCCATAAAACGACGAGTGCTAGCGTCAACCATAGACATTTGCAACACAGGCTTTGTAAACAAGTTACCAGTCTTCTAGGTGGGAAAGGTACCTTTAAGAATTACTTAAATAAAAGTAAACTAAAAATGACAAATAAATAAAACTAGTACTTCCAAAATACTACGCGTTATTTTATTTCTTTCAGAACAACCTACTTCCGACGTTCGGTTACTTTATTAATCATGGGCAGACGAGGCTGAATTTTTAATCATTATTCATTAGTATAGAATAGTTTTACGGTTTTTAACTTCTGAGGCATTAGCCTAACATCAGTAATCGTTAAACAATTTACTAAAAATGTATAATATAATGATAATTATAGGTCTTTTTGGTGACCTCGCTCACTTGTAAATATGATCTAAAACAAATATATTATTAGACTGTTTAAGGTGACTCGAAGGTGATCCAAAAGTTCGCTTGATAATTAAAGATATTTTAAATTAAAATGAAATTAGAGAACTTCAAATTATCTCTGGTGTTATAATTTCTATTTTAAGTTAAGCATAATCTATTATTTTATATAAAGTGAGATTGCCAGTTTAAATATTAAATAATAATGTTTAGAAACAGTTCAAAACTTTAAGTGTAAATTTTATCCTAAACAAAATATAAAGTTGCTAAACTATTTCGTCGAATCAAATACATATTATTAAAAATTAACAACAACTATAACAATACGTGACATTTTTGATAATGTCAATTGTTACCGAAAAATCTTCAACAATTACAGCTCCATAAAAATAAAACGTGTCATTTATATACGTTACCTCTAGTAATAATTCTTAATTTTTCAGTAGTATAATAAGAACTACTAATGGTCGTTGGAAAACATAAACTAATGCATTGTTGTATTTTTCCCATGCAAAATATTTTTCATCTTTGAGGTATATTAGCAATAGATAAACACTCACCTTAAGCAACGGATATTTAAATGTAGTTCAATATTGGAATAGACAAAGTACACATTTAATGAAGGCGACACTAAGGATCTTACGCGACACTCATTTAAATGAAAATTAGAATCCTTCAACATTGTTCAACCTTTTCGTTGTTATTGAGCTTCTTGTGAGTATTTTAGTAAGTTATGTTTAATTGTTTACCAAAGTCTATAACGACGAATGACATTTTCAATTATATCATATCATACTGCGCCATATATAGGTGCGCCATCAGATTTCGTATTTTGAAGCTGGAACAGAGATAACCACAAAGTGAAAAAACAACGTCCTACTACTTCTTCATAGTCACTTCAACTTTATTGTCCGCTGTCTCTTGCCAGAGGTTCTGAATAATCTCGTCTCGGATATTTGTATGTAAGCAAGATGCATAGGGTATTAGTTCTTAGATTCAATCTTTCATTGTTTAGAGAGGAAAACTAATATACCAATTTAGTGAACTTTGACGGCACGGTTACAGAAAACTTGGGTGTATCGACAAGGATAGTATTCCTTTTATTTAAGCTGAATGCAAGGCATTCCTTCAAGATTAAGGAAATTCATGGACCGGCTTTGAGACACTTGTGTGGTGACAAAGAGATTCATTACACGGACACAACAACAGGTCTGCACAACTATACGCCTCTTTTTTAGGATGAAACCAAAAACAAAACGAGCTTAAATAAATTATTAGGGTCTCGTTTGAAACTAACATAAAAGAAAACTTTTACACACCAAAGTTTGTAACAGAATGATCTAGACTTTTATTAGTTATCTTATAACTTGTTAAAAGACTTGCAGTTATATTCATTTTCTTTTTTCACAATATCCTATATTTATCAAGGAAGTCAAGTTCATTTGTCTTGGAAGACTATAGTTTATATACGGTCACGTTACTACGAATTAAAATGGATAATTCCATAAAAAATATATAGATAATACCACAAAATAATTATAATACCACAAAGTACATATAGATATGTCAACACGTAATAATTTCACCTACATTCCCATTTCATTTTTATTGACACTAAAGTGATGTTTGTAAAACATTTGTGTTCTTAAACATAACGAATGTTTTAAATTTTAGGAATTTAAAATATTCGTAATATTAAGCCGGGGCTACAAGCTGCTTCCTAATATAATTTTTCAGAATCCTTACAGAAAACACCTTTCAAATATTTCACTATACGTAATTAAAACACTTTTTAAGTCATTATAATTTTTGTAGCTTTACAATGCTATCAAGAGACGTACAGATTAAAGTAAAATAATGGTCAACGGTCCTTAATCGAAATTACGTATTAGTAAGATTTAAGAACAGAGATATAGAGAACATCTCTATATAAATATGGACAATCACTGAAACAACCTCAGAAAGATTATACAAATCCTTCTTTTCATTATAACAGTCACGTTATGTACATATGTGGTTCATTCACGAAAAAAACTTATTTTATAATTATTTAAAAAAAATGTCTGTCTGTGTCTGAGACAGTTAAGGGTCATTTGTGATTTCGTTTCAATTAAACGAAAATATGTTTAACCAATTCAATGAACGTTTCAAAATCACGTTA